CCCAAGAAATGAAATACCTAGGAATCAATCTAACAAAGAAAATGAAAGACTTTTACATTGAACATTATAGTACTCTTTCGTTGAAAGGAACAGTTAGAGCTTATATTGTTTGATCAATTTTGCATGCCTATATCTGCTAATCTGAGCAACTACTCTGAAGATAACAACATGCAACATAGTAATCATTATAATTTCCTATCATCTTGTTTTGAAATTCTGTAACATTTTTATGTTTTTCTCTTTAAAACAAAAACAAGAAAATTATAGTACTCTGAAAAAGGAGATCAAAGAAAATATTAGAAAATGAAAAGATATCCCTGGTTCTTGCAAGAACCAATATAGTGAAATTGGCCACACTTTCAAATTTTTTATACATATTTAATGTAATCCCAATAAAATACCAACACATGCCTCACAGAATTAGAGAAAACAATTCTAAAATTCATTTGGAACCAGAAGAGACCTAGAATAGCAAAAGCAACTCTGGGCAACAAAGACAAGACAGAGGATTACACAACTAATTCTGAGTCTAATTCTCAGACTTGAAATTATACTACAAAAATATGATTTTTAAAAAAGTCTGAACGACCACTGGCTAAGATTTTCTACTACTCTGTGGGTTGTCTTTTCACTCTGTTGGTGATTTCTGTTGCGTAAAAGCTTTTTAATTTTAAAATGAGAATTTAGTTGTTGATTCTTCATAGTATTTCTGTGCAGTCAAGATTTTGTTTATTAAGTCTTTGCCTATTGCTATGTCTTCAAGCATTCTATCTATTTTATCTCTCAACAGATTTAGTGTTTCTGTTTTAGTATTTAGATCTTTGATCCTTTTAGATGTTAGTTTAGTGCATGGTGATATAGATGATTGAATTTTAGTTTTTGTCATGTAGCAAGGCAGTGTTTCCAGAATCCTTTACTAAAAAGGTCATCTCTCTTCCAGTGAAGGTATTAGCCTCTTTGCAAAGATAAGATGGCTGAGTGTGCCTGAAGTTGTTTTGACCTCTTCTAATCTGTTCCATTAATCCTCAAGTCTGTTTTGTTGCCAGTATCATGCTGTTTATATTACAGTAACTCTGTAGTAAAACTTCAGGTCAATGATTGTTATGTCACCTGCTCTGCCTAATATCTAGAACATATAAAAAATTGAAAATAAATCTCCCCAAATTTAAAGATCCAGTCCACAAATGGATATCTGAAATAAACAGGCATTTCTCAGACACTTCTTAGATGAAGAAGTAGAAATGCTAAATATATATGTAAAATTTTTCTACATCACTAGTTATTCAAGAAATGCAAATTAAAACAAAACTGAGATTCCATTGCATTCCAGAAAGAATGGCCTTCATCAAGAAATCAACAAACAATAAAGGCTGGAGGGGCTGTTGGAAAAACAAACCCTTCTCCAATGTTGGTGGGAGTGTAGAATAGTGTGACCACTACAGAAATCAATGTGGAGAGTCCCCAAAAATCTATAACTAGAAGTCCCATTTGACCCAACTATTTCCTTTCTTGCTATCTTCCTACAAGAATTAAAAACATCATGCCACAGCAGTATATGCACACCGTGTTTATAGTGACACAGTGTGCCAGTCAAGCGCTTATCCTGCTGAGCCATCTCCCCGGCCCCCACAGTATGCGATAGCTAAATCTTGGAAACAGCCCAAAGGTCCATAAACTGATGGGGCTTTTATATATAATGGAGTAATGATGTGCCATAAAGAAAGATAAGCCTGAGGCATTTCTAGCTAAATGGATGCACCCTGAGACCACACTCTTAAGTGAGATAAATTGGACACACATGTGTAAATACCACATTATTTCTCTGAAATGAGAAACTAAAAGGGCAAATAAGGACCAAAATGCATAACAGATATTGGGAAATGGGAAAAAAATGTTGACATGTGCAGGGGAACAGAGGATGGGAAAAGGAAGGACAGGAAAAGAAACAAAAGGAAAAATAATAAAATGGAAACAAAGCTTTGTAAATAAGGAGGGGAAGAGGGACTGAAGGGAAGGGAGAGGAAGGGGAAAACAGAAGAAGTAACATATATCATGAACAAGCACAAATTCCTTATGATGAATATTATTATTATGTATATCTAAAGTGTAACAGTGACATTTTTTTAAAAAGACCAAAACAAATGATGAAATTTAAGTCCCACACACAACAAAGCAACATTAAGAGAATACTATAGACCTTAGGCCAACTAACTCAGTAATTTAATGGGAAAAGTCCTGAAATGCAAGAAAACAAAGTTCATTCCAGAATCTGTTAATCTGAATAGTCCAGCATCCATTATAGCATTTGAATTTGCAGTTAAAAACACTCTCATAAAATTAATTTTAGGGGCTGGGGAGATGGCTCAGTGGTCTAAAGCACCTACTTAGAACAAGCTTAGCAAAGCACAGGGACCGCGGTTCAATCCTCCAGCACCACATGCCAGCCAGCCCCGCCCCCTGGTGGGCTGAGCTGGCCACACACACACACACACACACACACACAAATAAATAAAATTAATTTTACTGGTTAATTCTACTGAATCCTTAATGTTTAAAAGTATCTGTTTTGTTTTTTTTTTTTTGTTTTTGTTTTTGTTTTTTACAAACAACGAGAAAGCAAGACACCTTCCCCAACCTGTCAATAAACTCAGCATCTTTATATATCAAAACCAGGCACAGATGGTATAATAGAAAAAAATCCTAAAGACAATACCCCCCAACAACACAAATGGGGAAAAAAGCACACCCAAATTTTAACAGAATGAATACAATACATAAAAAGAGATATATGACAAAGTGGAGTTCATCCGAGAAAGAATGATTTACCATTCTATACATTAATTCTAACATTCTAAAGTTAATTAAAGTACTCTTCATAATTAAAAAGATGCCATTTGAATATTGAAGTAGATACAGAAAAAGCTTTCAACAAATGTCAACACTGATTAAAAATGAAAATCTCAGAAAACTAAGAATAGAAGGGAGATTTCTAACATGATAAAATTATTTATATGAAAACCTACATATAACATATTTAATGAATAGAGACTAAATTCTTTCCCCTCTTGAGCAAAAGGAAAAGGAAACTGATTTTATCACTTTTATTCAGTATGATACTAGAAGTCTGAGCAGCTCAATCAAATTTTTGAAAAAAGAAACAAAACACATCTAGAATGGAAATTTGAAAATACAACTATACCTGTAGATGGAATAAACATTTACACAGAAAATTGTAGAGAAGCTATAAAAATAACTTATCAAATAAGTTTAGCAAAGTTGTGAAAAACCCCATATATATATATGGGTTTTAAGAATAAGAATGAGATCTTTTCCCCTTTAGGCCCAGTATATATACAAAGCCACCAAGCAAAGAGCAGCAATCCTTTCAAAATTGGCTTTATTCTTCTTTGACCCAACAGATCTTGCCATTTTCTCCAAGCTGTCTAGTTCCACTGGCCACAAGCTGAAGGGCTTTAGGAAATATTTTGTGTTCTATTACTTTTATAGAACAGTCAGCAACTTCTTTAAAAATGCACCTTCAATGCACAATACAATGCATGATTTCACAACTTGTTATAAAGTTACAGCACTAAAGATCGCGTGATATTGGCATACATGTGCACAGAGAGTAATAATAGAGTCATTCGCACTGTGACTCTATGTGGCCAACAGGTGTCAAGGCAACTTAAGAGGAAAAAGATAATCTTATCACCAAACAATAGAGAAATTTGAGAGTCATACTGGGGGGACAAAAAACAAGAAGGAGGAGGAAGAAGAGGAGGAAAAGAACAAAAGAAAGTGGGCAGGAAAAAGTTTATTCTTACCTATCACCAAATACAGAAATGACCTCAGAATGGGCTCTACACCTAAATGCAAGAGCTAAAACTATAAAACTCCTAGAAAAAAAAAAAAATTTCAGTCATCTTGGGTTTCACAAAATTTATTTTTACCATGATACTTAAGCCATACAAGAAAGTCTTGACTTTATCAAAATAAAAAACCTAAGTGCTTCAAAGGATGTCTATAAATAGGAAAAGCCAAGCCACTGAGAGAAACCATTTGTAAAAACATACAGCTAGACATGGTGTGTCATGTTTGTAGTCCTAGAACTTGGGACGCTGAGGCAGAAGGATCACTATAAGTTTGAGTCCAGTCTGAAGTACATAGCAAATGCTGTCTAATATATA